AATTGTAATATTTATGGAAATTGATACGAATATCAACATTTCGTTTTGCATGAGGACACGTATATGAACGCATGAAGTCCGCATTGAACGTAAAGGCACAGAATTAATCTCCACACCTAATAATTCCGCTCCATGTGCGCGGCACAAAATACAGGAAGCGCTCACACGTTACGCTGTTTTGTACGGTCATGAATCAATCGAAAGTACGGTATCCTGTAAGCGAGATTTCTACATTCAATCTTTACGCGAAAAATTCTCGAATCGACGATTACGTTTCCCGCGTTCCATTGCCAGCAAGATTCACTCGGAAAGATCAGCCTTGCAAGCTTATTCTTCTGTATCGTTCCGGTCTACGTAACATGTACGTTTGTAAAATGCTAATGGTTTATATTATTAAAGTATACGCATACACAATCTCGTATAAAGTGTGCCCTCTCGATAGATCGATTCATCTCTGTTGCTCGCGTCAGGGTCGAGCTATCGATCCGTCGATCGAATTCGAAAGGAAGTTCGTCTGTCGTAAATTCGTGATTTATTTACGAATTTAAAAAAATATATATACGAAACGAAAATGATGTAGAATATCGACTCTGACGCGCGGCCACCAGCGAATTCGCATCCGAACGTTTTCATTTTTCATTCGCGTATCGCAGCTCAGAGGTTTACATTTTCGTAAAGCTGAGCTTTCGAGCATCGTGCCAAAAATAAAGGTGACGGTTTATTCTCCAATTTGAAAGTATGGAAATTTCCATGGGGTCCACACTATGCGAATAAAAGAACAAATTATGCGACTGTGCGGAGAGCGTTGTGAATTTGCATGACAGTGTTCCGTGACTCATTGTGTTCGCGACCTGTCTTTGAGGGTACGTTTACACTGTTTTTATCATCAGAGCTTCAATCCCAAAGGCTCATCTTTTTCCCAGCCAGCGTATTATCGCGCGCACTCGCAGTTTCTCTCTTAGACATTGTTCTATATCTTCTTAAACAACGAAGATATTCAAAGTGTTCATTACGAAATAGGTCGCCACCCTGTAGACGCAATGCCTCTTCGACGCGAGTAGCTTTTACACTTGTTACCCAGGAATCAAACAATCCACGTAGAAAATTCAGAGAGAACCGTAGTTGTAGAAGTATCTAACGAAATTAGTTGGGAAACTTTGGTGACTTTCCTCTGTAGATTAATTTATGTAAAAATTATTTTTCTTTACATTGCTAATATATTCCGAATATACGTTCACCAAACGCTCTGTACTTACGTGGACCTCGTCTGACGTTAACGAGAGCATACGAGAAACCTCGATGGCATAATCGGTCCTCGTCAACGACGTCGTGTGTCTTCTGCGACAGTGTAAACGTACGCCCACGCCTAACTCGTGGTAGTGTTAGCGATTCGATTCCCCTTTTCGACGATTTCTCGACCAGCGCAACCCCTATTGATAATAATTGTTCGTTGGTATCAATTAGGAATTGCAGAAGTATTTGTTTGTCGCAAGAATGTGTGTACGTTACGACGCGTACCTGAGTAAATGTATACAAAACCGCTTCGTACATTAATAACAGCACAGGATAACGCAGACACTTCAACTTTTCGAAGCTAAACCTATAGTTGAACCGTGAACGTTTTATATGTACTCTCAAAGTTCCTTAGAATTATAGAAAACACATAGCTGAGATTATCTTAATTACTAGAGGATAACTAACGGCAGTTGAATCGATAGCAATGCGAGGATCATTTTAATCGTATTTCTCTCATTACGGGCATGTTTTACAGGGATTTATTTTTATAGACAGGTTTTACGGCGCGAGAATATCGCCGAAGTTGTTTCAGATCATTTATAGAGACATTATATTACCATCGCTTGTCGACGTGGCAATTCTTAATTAACGATAGAATTCGTTGCGAGGTAGGTTGAGTCGTTTCAACGTTTTCGATTCGTATCGATCGCTTGTTTTCACTGCTGCCAATCGTTTGAAATTGTTGGGAGACAAAATAAAGAAAGTTGTAGGGAAGCTACGCAAATGTGGAATATACTTCGTAAGTTTCCTACTTCGAATACTTTTCGAGAAAATGAAACGTGTTTTACTCTAGGAAAATATTGAAAGTTTCGTAGGACCATTAGATGTATAGTATTGCAGACCCTTTTAGACAATCGTTAATTTCTTTCAAATTTTATACAATATTAGTCAAAAGCAAGTAGTATTTCAACTATTTTTATTTGGACACTTGGATGAGATATTAGGTTGTCCAGAAAGTTCGTGCCAATTTCTAAGAAAAATTCAAAGGCATATAATATATATATACATGTATTTATTGAATTACATAGGTGCCATTTTGTTCCACAATCGTTCCACTTTTTAGGGGATGTATACATGTTATTTGTTTTCAATCATTTCGATATATTCAGACCTGTACCACCTATCAAAAATCGACATAGACTTTCCGGACAACCAAATATATATATACAGGGTGTCCTAGAATCAGTGTAAGAACCGGAAATGGGAGGTAGCTGAGACGATTCCGAACCACAATTTTCTTCGAAAAAACGAAGCGCCATCCGACATTTTTGCGAAGGAAATTGTGGCTCGGAATCGTCTCAGCTACCCCCCCATTTCCGGTTCTTACACTGATTCTAGGACACCCTCTGTATAACACATTTTTATTTGCACCACTTTACTTGTAGTCTCGTTGCTTTATTCAGTTCTCTACCTCGCTGGATCATAGTATCGCGTTTATGGTGGCAGTGGAAATATCGAACCGAGCGGGTTGTTCCATAACGACAACTCGAAAGTTCGCCGTTATCGTGAAACAGTCATCTCGATTTCTTTTTTTTTTTTTTTTGCACCGTTAATTCCGAGTTAGAGTGTATCGTTCTCAGATGTAAATCACGAGAAAGAGGAAAGGAAATGAAACAATCATCGAACTGTGCCCGCATAGCTCACACGGCATCGCAAAAAGGCTATTTGCTATTTCTATTTTTCTCCGACAATATTAGTATCAATTAAGATATTTCAGGCTTTCATGGCAAGGTTCTTCATGGTTGATACTAACCGAGGTTTTTAAGTACGAACCACGTCCTTGGGATGAGACGTTTCCACGTTTCGTCAGCATTGCGGACACCTTCTTCGGTTGTCGAATTACGCACTTAGGAGAACCTGGGCAAATTTTAATTTTAATTAACACGTTCACGTTCGCGCTGTTTGAAATAATTTATTTCGAACCGCTATTTTCGATGCAGTTATTCGAAAATAAAAAAAATAATACCAATTCCGTTGATGTAATGGCTCTGTTTTCAAGTCACGAAGTGTTTGGTTATTCTATTGTTTCAAATTTAACGAAAGAAATAATAAATAACGTAGCCATGTTTGTATTATAAAATAATACGTTTCTCAAAGGAGATGGTTTGCACAAGGAAGCCTCGGTTGATACCAACTATCGGTATTAGTACCATTTATATCGTAGCGCACCGTGCATAATAATTCATATATCGATAATACCTGAAGAATCACGTAAATACCTGATGAAGAATGTACTTCGACAAGACGCGACAATAGGTAATTTCGAGATCGTAGACACGTGGACGTGTGGATTAATGTGCATCGAAGAAGCGTAACACTTTCTATCGTTTCGTGCGTGGGACGTAATAACGGAAGGGGTTGTAATAAAAAAAAAAAGACCTTAGACTATTATATCTGTATACTTTATTGTGTCTTTAGTATGCGTCTGTTGCGGCTACGTTTATCGACGGAATGAACAATGACGTAAATAAATAAAAACGAATAGAAAATACAATGGTACTTTGGTGAATTTCCATTCGCGAAACACCATGATCGAGGCAGACATCCCTCTGGTTTTTCTCTGACGGATTTCTATCGAGAACCTTTTTATTTTTTTTTCGGAAATGCACGACTCGCGAAACCATTTTTTATTACGATCGAATCTGTGTTGTACGTTCTTACACGAGCGAATTATGTTCTTTTTCCCGTGTAATTCATTTTTTATTGTAACTCATCTTCGTGTCTTTCTGCGCTATTTCTTTTATTACGATCGAATTTGCGTTGCTCGTTCTTAGATTAGCGAAGTATATCTTCCTTTTTCATGTAATTTATTTTTTATTGTAAGCTCATCGTATTATTCCGCGATCAACCTGTCCGTTACTAATTAACCAGTAACACGATATTTTTCGAATCGCGACAGAAAAGTCGCGAGACTCACTCTCCATATATACAGTAGTGTATTTACACGTTTGCGCGTGGATCGCTCGCTTTAAGCAGAGATGGACAGATCCTTATCCGAACACGAATTGTTCCATCCGCCATCTGTTATTCCAATAAGGTCTCGCCCATCTCTGACTTCCGGTTGCGCGGAAGGTCGAGGGTCCCGCGACGGACACGCTGAAGCACGGATGTCGTACCGCTATAAAGAGTCTCTCCAGAGGAAGAGAAGCGCTCGGAAATGTCTGGATGCACGCGAATCCTCTTGGAGCATAAGCGGAGGAATTTTCTCTTTCTCGCGGATCCGTCAAGTCGATTCTTACACAAATTTCCCTGGTGGCCACTACGGGTGCCCTCTCCCCGTAATTTTCTATCAGAATTTGTATACCATGAAATTTTAAACCGTCGAGAATCGAAAGAGTTCCCCCCCCCCCGCCGGGGGGGGGGGGGGCCCCGCCCCCGAAGAAAATAAAATTCTCCAATGAAATTCGTACGTATCCAGAGATTCCCTCGGAGATCTTTGGATGTACATGAATATGTTTATACGAGTGTGTACGTATCGTACAGGTGTTCGGGACGTCTTATCCACCGTGGCGCTTGTTTACCTTGAAGGAGTGATATTGGAAAATTGAGATGCTCTCTGACGGTTAAATTAATGGTTTCTGGTGAAAGCAAGAGAAGAAAAGGTATCGAGTTTCGCGACATGCTCGCTACTGGTAGATCGAACATTTTGATCGAAATCAAGTGAACACTCAGGGTTGATCCACGGGCCTATTAGTATCTGGACCTGGGGACTTTCGAAATGATATTATTCGAAATATATTTCAAGTAACGTTATCTTATTCTATTTTAAAGTTATTTGAAAAGATCGTGAAATTCTATAAAATTGTATCGGGTACACAACGAAAGATCTAGAAATAAGGAGCTCTTGGATCCTACCTCTGGTGGATATTATACAAATTGAGCACCTCGGCGAATAAGACTTACAGAACACAGTAGTAATCACGCTAGATTGACATTAAAGGTGTGTCGTAACTCCAACAGCGAAGTTTACTCGAAGGCAAATCGCGTTGCGTTCCACGACTACATTAATTACATTGGAGTGCAGCTATAACGATTTAACCCTCTATTGTACAATGTACCCAAATCGAGTGTCCTATCTGTTTGCCAGTAAAGACAACCTGGGATTTGTACATGACATTTTCCTACGCCTCTAATAACCTTCCAGGTTTGAGTATTAATTAATTCGTGGACATGCAAACAAAATTAATCATCATCAGATTCTAGAACCATTAATTGGCAACCCCTTTACGGAGTAAACAGGTATCGGACGGTCGATCGAAGTATTTGCTGCTTCTCTCGTACATGTAAACCAGAGCTGTAAATTCTTAATCGCCATTAAGTAATTTCTCAATTACTAGTAATGATTACTTTGACCAAGTAATTAAATAATTGCCATTACAATTACTCTGTCGCGTGTAATGGTATTTGCGCTCGCGGTTTCTCTAACATACGCTACCTAATTCAAAAGCGTCAATATCTCCACTATCAACCGCGAAAAGTCGAGTCCCAAAAGCCTCGAGTATCCTAATCATAAAATGATTAATTTTCCTCCAGATAATAAGATTCATTCAATAGAGGGTTAACGAAATAAGACACGCGTTTACACTCCCGCTAGAGCGTTACGATCGCGTTTAATATGTTACACCTTATCACCTACTTATCGACTATGTGACTAGCAACGGAGGATCGAAGGACACCGGTCCGATCGACCTCGCTTCGAAGGTTTTCTTAGCGTAATGGAGAATTAAGAAAGTTGAAAGAACGAGCACCAGAGTTGACGAGTAGTTCTAGGAAGGTTTCAACCGGTCCGGTTGCGACCAAAAGCGTACAATCAGGCTGCGCGAATATTACCGAGTACGATTTCTCCGGTTGATGTTACGTATCCTATGGAAAAGGACGAAAGCTGATCGCCCTCTTCAGCACAGCAGCTAGTTCTCTAATGTCCCCCATCGTGGAAGCATCTCACTTCTCTATGAATTTCAAAGAATGTCCCAGGTCGTCCAATTTTCTTCTCAGTTGGAAAATCGGGGATCAATTTTCGTCCATCGTCCCTGTGACGATTCCTCGGACGATTCAGAAGCCTTCCAATCTCCTTCCTCGAGACACCAAGCGTCCCGAATCCGAGTCTTTGGCTATCTTCCATCGCAGATCTAATGAATTTTTCCAGTGGATTCGATATCCCGATGATTCGACTTGCATTAAGACTCCACCCAAGGCGCGGGAATCTAAAGAGATCTCTTCGCCTCCGAATCACGTCGATTCTGGAGCGGTCCTCCCTGAGCCTCAGGTCTAATGCACTCCTCGAGTATGCTTTTGGAAAGTCTTAGAAGATTTCAAGTTCTCTCTTGGGCTGGCAGATCGATCGTCTAATTAGTTCAAGCTTTAAGAGTCTCTAGAAATATTCCAAACTATAATGTTTCTGTTTGTGTCGGGACTCGAGGCGTGAATGTCTCAAGAGGTGTCTTTATCATCTTCGAATCTGATCCATTCCCAAAAGATTTCGATATTTTCTTGACGAGCCTCAGTTCTAATGCATTTCTCGAATATACTTTTGGAAACTGTTAAAAGATCTCAAGTCTTCTACTTAGGAGTGTTCATTTCGAAAGATACTTAGTGCAAGCTTTGAAAGACTTCAGGATCATTCCAAGCTACGATGATTCTGCTTACGTTGGAACTTGAGACGCGAGTATTTCCATCGAATCCCTGAAGAATTCTGTATCTCCACTCTGCATTTCGAATCCTCACGATTCCCCACACTGTCCGGGATGTACCTTCCAAAAATATCCTACGCAGCCTTTTGAAGAATCTAAACACATTCCAAACTCTCTGGTTAGACCTGCCTTCCACCAGGATGGAAAATCGTCTTGTTTAGAGCCTTTCCAGAGAGTTCAGCTCCTTGGTGACGATCGCCGCCTCGGCGTCCTCCTCGAGGATCTCTTCACCGTCGAATAACTGCTCCTGGCCATCGGGTTCGTTCACCAAAGCGCTCTCCTCGCCGGTTCCCTGAGCGTCTTCCGGTGCGAGGAAGAGGTTTGTCCTTCCGTTGCACTTTCTGTGGTAGTCTGGGTTGTCCGGTGCCGGCCTGTGACAAGAGTCGCAGACAGTGTCGGTCTTGGAGGTGCATGGGTGCGCTTCGTAGAGTCCTGGACCACATCTCGAACAGATCCAGCAGGGGTGGGTGCTATGGTGAGGGCTGTAGGTGCCCGCGGAACACTTTCCGCACTCGGTGTCGCGGCCACGGATACAGCGATTCACCACACCCCAGCCTGGACCGCATCTGCTGCAGTGAGTGCCATCTTTCTGGTGCCTGATGCGGGGCCTGGCCTCGCTCACCTGGAAGAAAAGCAGATGCGCTTGGTTAGAAGTTGGTAGAGTTGAGACGAGCTTGCTTTGTAGAGCGATGGTGGGAATTCGGTTGGAAATGGAATGCTGGACTCTACTTTAGGGATAGGATGACGTTGTTAAAATGGAGGATGGTTTAAATGGAGGTAGAATACGTATACATTTGGATGGATTATGAATCGTAAGATATTCGATTGAATAATACTGTGTAAGAAGGGCTGGAATATCTTCTTCGTCGGTAGAGTCGAGAATTTACTTCGACTCTGATATTCTTTAATATACTTGGACTGCAAATGTTATGCATTTATGGTGACATTTATACTACACAGTAATGTGGGAAAACACGTGTAGAATACATTCTATTAAGCCTACCGCGACTAGTCAAATGACTCCTTTCAAACTTTTGTATGCTTTATATGAATTATATGTATACAATTGTTTCGTGAATTTCACTGAAAACGGTGTCTTTAAGACTAGTCGCCGGTAAGTTTAGTGTTATTTAATATAACGACGTTAATATTACTACTTTTATTTTGTTTTTAGCACAGATTTATCATATTCTTTGTTTGAAACGACGAAGAAGGATTTCGAAGCCATCTTTTCTAAGTTCGCGGAGCGGCGTCGAGGAACAGGTGCCGAAGGATACAGCCACCTGACCGCGAGAGTACACCTTGCGCCTTTCTTTCGTTGGGCATGGGACCACGATCGAGATACAGCACAAATGCTCTGAGCCAAGATGCAAATTAGGATTTCTCAGGTGCCCTTATTATTTCCTGTTTCCATTTCTTACCGCTCCTTCAACGATCTAATCTAATCGACTACCTCATCGATGCTTCAACACAAGTCAAGTCCAAATTGCAACGACTTCACATACAAATAAATAAACTAATTAATTCCATGAGGTGACTGTTGAAAATTGGCTTACTGCGATAAGCTGACAGTCACAGTCACGGTCACCTCAGAGAACTAATTAGAAGGATAGGGATGCAATGTTCCTGAACCAAGCGCTCCAGTTGAACTAATAATAATATAATTTCATTTTTAACCGACTTCGAAAAGGAGGAGGTTACTCAATTCGACATGTATATTTTTTGTTTTTAATGTTTGTTATCTTTAATATTTTTAAAGTTGAAATTTTATGTGTACTTGTAGCATTCACAGGTCTGAAACGAGGCGATAATCTTCGCGAGCATTTCCATCGATATCCAAGAAGGTACCCGACGTAGTTTATTATCTTTTTCAGGATGTTTCGAAGGTGCAAAGATTGTTGCTCGTAATGAAAAGGGCAATCGGGTCCAGAGAAACGAGTCTCGCAGCTGGCAGCAGCCCGGTGCTGGCACGCGCCAACGGTCACCGAGGCATCAGGTGCATCACCGCACCGGGCCCCGTTCTTCAAACCCTGACGATCCTTTTTTTTCCCTTTCGTTTTCTCCTCTCGGTAAGTGACGACCATTCGATTCTCTGGTTGCGCGAGTTCGAGTTGTTTAATCGCGTTGGATGTTCCTTTTAAAACGATACTTCGTCGAGAAGCCATTTTTGGCCCTTCGACAGAAGATACACACAGTAAGAGCCATATTCGTACACACTATGTTCATTGAAGAAATGTAATCGAATTAAATGATAGGTTTGTAGTTGCCAAAAACTGTCATTTAATTTAGACAAACTTCTTTGATAAACACAGAGGGTACGAATGTTTATAGGGCTGACTGTATAAAGACGTTATAGAGTAGGGGAGCCTACCTGTCTCTATCTACCAGCTCATTTTTATTGCATTTATTTTATTATTAATTATATAATTAATACAACAAATATTATTGATAGAGTAAGAGAACTAGGATCTGTCTGTCTGTCTCTGTCTACCATCGGATTTTTACATAAATTCCACGTTAATAACAAACGGTTACCCTTTGTACTTTGAATAATTACGCACACGTATATATTTCACATTCACCTCGATAAAAGCATAGAGATAGAGTACCGCGATTTTCTTTCTCTTTCTAACACTGGGACTTGGAGACTCGCATCATTCACAGCTCTCCTGCTCTACCTACAATGTCTCTCTATGGTCGAGGTGGGCGGAACACGTACAAGTACGCACGTGATCAACGGGTAATAAGTCGAGGCAAAGGTACACGCGGCAATGTAGCCACGAGTGTCATCTTATCGGTCCCGTAACACGAGCCACGCACCTCACGTAAGGATGCACCCTGTCAATTTGCGGGTGAAACGAGTCTGGTGAAAAGGGTTAATAATAGCGATCCCCGTCGTCCAAGGGGACAAATTATCTGAACGTACTCGTCACGCGTACGACATATGCCGTGCTCCTCCTTAATAAAGAAACCAAACTTCGGTGTTTGACGGGAGACAGTTGGCTGCACGATGACCGCTTGCGGTCGCGCTTTTTATTTGGCTTTCTTTGTACCGATGGATACTCGTATGCGGTAACGTGATCACATGTTGCGAACGAGAACTGGTTCGTCCGAAGATGGACTCATAAATAACTATGGGAATAGGTTAACGAAGTTACCATGGTTGTCTCTATGTAGTCACGAATTACGAGTGGCGATGATTGCTATCCATAAAAGTGGTATCCAATTTCGCGTGACATTTCTATTGGATAGTTTACTGTTTATCCTCAGGGCTTGTAGCTACGTTTAATTGTAGCTGCGCGGGTTTTTTTCGAACTCGGGGTACCCGAGCTCTACGAAAGAGGCCCATTGGGCCTTACCCATTCCTAGAGGAAGTGCCGGAAAGTACAGCAATAATAGAAAACAGTGTGATAAAGAATAGCGATAAAGACACACCAAACCTTACGACGTTTCATAAATGGTGGAGTTAATATGGCGGGAAAAAGTGAAATGGGCCTGTATGGTCCGAGCACTGTTAATAAATAAACCAACAAAGTTACTATTTATAGCACAATGATCTCTGCAACAGGAATTGGACGATGGATGTAGGGTACATGGATGAATAACTTGAATTGAAACGTTTGAAAAGAAACTACAGAATTAATTTCCACAAGACATTTTATCCTACGCCACTATACAAAGTAGACAAGAACCTGAAGCAACTGAAGCTGAACTGCTACGTGCTGCCACGGCAAGAAACCACCATCTCCGTAACTTTAGAATACACCCATCGAAACCAGGTACATCGACTGGTTCTGGAGAGAAGTTTGCCTCGGAGGAAGACGAGTTACGCTTTCGGCGTGAAATTATCCATCCAGAGGAGCGGTGCGATCGGTTGCGAGCGAACCAGTGTTGAAAAATAATTTTCTTCGGCACGGCGAGATCGGCGAAGCGTGGTCTCGAAGAAACCATGGAATGTAAGAGGGTTCTTAAGTTTAATCAATGACAAAAGGGTTCTCCTCGCGGGCTGGAACCAAGGAAATTACGTCGTCGGAAAGTAGCCGGGTGTAATCGACGAGCAGACGAGTCGCGCCGGTTGGAAACGGCCCTTAACAATTTCCGATCGTTTTCCAGTCCGGCCTCGTCGTCGTAAAACGTTGGTTAGACACCGAGGTGAAACGCGAGACCGATGAATCCAAGGAATTTGCGGCGCACCCGCAACCGACCAGGCTCGAGTGACCAGGTTTTGAATAAACCGAACAAAAATGGGGAAAGACGATACGAGATGGTCGCAGGTCGAGTCGATTAACTCCCCTTTCTGAATTTTTGCAAATTTTACCTCAACTTTTTCAATAATTACTCCGCTGAAAGGTACGACAAAAGTATCGTTGTCGCAGTTTATTTGTCACTTGACCGATTTTCTATTAGATTAGTGGAGATATTATAAAATAAGAATAGTATTCTACGTGGGCGAAATCGCGGAACACAGCTAGTTAATATTATAATAATTAAGACCCACTGGCACAAAAGCTTCGAGAGCCATGATGTGCCTTTAAACTCGAGACTTCTCAGTCCACGACAACACTTAACAAACCTTTGCCAATTAATGTTATAAAAATTAACGGCCACTGGCACAAAAGTTTCAAGAATTACGATGTTTGTCACCTGTAGAATAAACGTACGACTCGCGATAGATATCTACAACTCCATAGACGCGGATGACCCTTCGTAAGTTGGACCCTTTCGAGAGGCTCCGCCAGGCTAATTACCCAGCGCAGTTGGCGAGTGTAGAAATCATCGTCGATAGATAAAATCGGTTCACATGCCGCCTCGGTAACGACGATCGGAAGGAGGAAAAGGGAATGTGGCGGAAAAAGCGAGCAGGAAGAGAGAGAGGAGCTCTTTATTTCGCGATGCATGCATATATGCATTAGGATTCAGGCCGAAAGGTCGACGTACAGTGAAGATAACGCGTCGAGGGTCGAGGGTGAAGCGAGACCGGTGAAATTAACGAAAGCCCGCGAAACGGAGCTGGAAAGGTGGAAAGAAGAAAAAAAAAAAAAGAGAAAAGATCATGGAAGCGTAGGAAGCAAACCGCTGGCGGGACAGACCAAAGAACGGAGAAAAAGGTAAACCGTGTGGAACAACAGAACCGTTGGGGAGAGGGTAACGGGTGGAACAAAAGGTGCCACGCGGAAACGGAATAGAATAGCGAGAGGAAAAAGAGAGTAAAAGATTGAAAGATGGAGCGGAACGAATGGCTGGGCGGAAAGTTACAGATGTAAACAGAATACAAAAGCAAAGGACAGGCGGGGGTGGGCTGTTCGAGTTTTACAGAGATTTTGTACTCTGGTCTTTTTTTTCGCGACGTTTCTCTTTCTTTTTATTTTTTCATAGTAACGCGGAACAATTTTTCAACGTATTCTCTTTTTTAAACGATGCACCTACCTACGGGTTGTCACTAAAAGTATACACGCACACGCCGGGTTCACCTTCTGTTCACTTTTCCCAAAGTCGCTTTGAAGTTTCAAATAATTACAGCTATAACACTAGATTTATGGCATTGTGACCCATCATGATTTCACAAAGTTTTATACGAAGTGATAAGCACATGTCTGGGCCTCCATTTATTAATATTCACCT